TCAAGAGACACATGATCTAAGTGGTACACATAGCTACCATAGTCTGGGTTTAGATTCCTTCTTTGACTTGTTAATATCAATTCTTGTAAGTAAGGAAAAATAACTTATATTTGACTTATTAAAAGATAAAAGGAGGACTGCCTGGGTGGCTCAGTAGGTTGGGCATCCGACTTGTGGTTTCAGCTGAGGTCATGGTCCCATGGGTCATGAGATCGAGCCCCAACATTGAGCTCCACACTCAGTGGGGAGTCTGGTTGGGATATATATATATATATATATATATATATATATATATATATATATATATATATTTATTTATTTATTTTGGGGGGGATTCTCTCTCTCTCCCTCTGCCCGTCCCCCCACTCACGTGTTTTCTCTCTCTAAAATAAATAAATAAACCTTAAAAAAAGAGAGATAAAAATATTCATGGATTAAAATGACTCTTAAAGATATTATTATAGGCCTTTTATATTTGTAGCAAGAATAAATTATGTAATAATCTTTAGTCCAGCTTTTCCTTTCAGTAACAAATATTGAAAACAACATCAATTGTGCATATTTTTAGTCAAATTTTAATTTCTTGGTATAATTACCAAGGTGCCTACAACAGATTCTTAGAATAAATATTAATTTGACATCTGTTACAGAGTATCTACTATAAGAGACATTGAGCAAATATTGTGGAAATATGAAAAAGGTCATTGAAATCTTTGCCCTTGTGGACTGTGCTTTCATATTGTAGATATGCCTTTAAGATGAAAATGTTCCTTGATATACTACACTTTTTATGTATTGGAGGGATGGATTAAGTAATTTATATGGATCCCATCCCGTTCATATACTCTATTACTTATGTGAATTAACCACTGGGATGGTAGAAATATCAATCATTTATTACCTTAATTGTGTACCATTTAATACTTTAGGAAAATTAATACTTTTATATCAGTTACAAATGTAACTGAGTTGGACATTGTCAATTTCAACCTAGATTAAACGGAATGTGACCCTTCTTTAAGAATGACTTCCAATTTTCCTAAATATTTACTAATTGAAGGAGAATAGATACGACTCAATACAAAGAAAAAGACCTTTAGAATGACATTAGAAGATGTTGTTCTCATGAATTAGGATATCACTTCTTTGAAATTGACATATACGATCATTTTATGAAACTCCCCAAGGAGCTCCTCAGTAACGTTTGGAATCCATACCTATATGCAACCCCAACAGAAAATCTGCAGCTTGCACAGGACAACATTTCTAATTATGCTGTCCTATTCCAGATGAAATTCACAGCATAGCAAAGGAAAGCAGGGCACTTAGCAGCTACAGGTCTCTGCAAAGGCTACCTGGTGTTCAGAATAACCTGGGCATGACTGTTTTCAGAATGGCATAGTAAAGACCAGGTGACGTTTATTAGGGACAGACACTCTCCAAGACAGAGCTCAACCCAACTTAGCAATGGCTTACCATGAAGGGAAGGGTTAAATTAAATTGTTAATCAGTGGGGCCCCTGGCTGGCTCAGTCTGAAGAGCATGCAAAGCATGCCTCTTGATCTCAGGGTCTAGATCTCGGGGTCATGAGTTCAATCCCCACAATGGAAGTAGAGATTACATAAAACAAATAAAAATTTTTAAAAATTGTTTTTTTTTTTTTCATATGTTGAGGAACTCACTCCCATTCTTCCTTAAAAACTTCCAAGAGAGGGCAGCCCTGGTGGCTCAGTGATTTAGTGCTGCATTCGGCCCAGGGTGTGATCCTGAAGACCCAGGATCGATTCCTGCGTCAGGCTCCCTGAGTGGAGCCTGCTTCTCCCTCTGCCTCTCTCTCTCTCTGTGTCTCTCATGAATAATTTAATAAAATCTTAAAAAAAAAACAACAAAAAACTTCCAAGTGTATTTAACTCATCTTTCAAATGAGAAAGGAACTCAGACCGTCTTCCTCAAGCCTTCCCTAATGCCTCAGCTTCTTGCAGGTAAAAATTCCTGGCATTTCCCCAAAGGGGACATCTGTGGTGATTGTGGTTATCTTTCTGAGGACCCAGGAGATTACATTTTTCCAAAGAGGCACAGGAGGGTCTGGATTATCTTTAAAAGGCCTAGAGCTTTACTGTATGGGCATGTGGGAGAAAAAATGAGAGAGAAATAGAAAAATCGAGTGAGAGGAAAAGAGAAAATACAAAGAAGGAAAGAGAAGAAGGCCCAGGTAGGTTGATATGATTGCTTCCTTTGCAGTCCCAGTGCAGCAAGACAGAGGAGGCAGCTGTGCAAGTGCTTTCCAAGCCCTAAAGGCTTTGCAAGCGGCACTGCTGTCCTCTGGAGCGCCCACTTCAGGCTGAGCCACTCCAGCATTCTTCCTTCAGTCTTCCTGCCCCCCACCCCTCCCCTTCTCTGCAGGTGGCTGCATCTGGAGGATTTCCATGAAGGCTGGGGACAGTTAGGCATCTTGGATTTGGGTTCTGCCTTCTAGGAGCCAGAGGAGGGTTGGCAAAACCCATTGTGTGTTGACACTGCAGCTGCCTCACCACGCCAGGTCCCAGGTCCTGCAGCTGCAGCAGTTTGGGAAGATGCAAGCTGGGTAGAAGAGTGAGGACGGCGCCTGCAGTGTCTCCAAAGGTTGGAATCCCTGAAGGATTTGGGCGGAGAGGAGATGGAGAGGGGCCTGAACAGACCTCAAACAGGAGCTTTGAGTGGTGTGACAGTTCTATCTCAGAAAGAATAAAATAAAATAAAATTCCAAGGATTCCAAAGAAATTAACTGAGATGCAGAGGAGGCCAGGAAGACTAGGTTAAACATTGAATAAGGTGGGTATATTGGAGGTGAGGGGCAATAGAAAAGAGATAGAAAGAAAAGAGACCTTCCAAGAAAGGAGAAATGATACAGTGTGAAAAGGAATCCTTGGGACTCTCTTGAAAGATGTGCTGGGGACCAGACAATTGTTTATTTGAAGACTTTAGCAATGTCACTGAGGATGATAAACGTGTAGAGAGAAAGGGGACATTACCACTCCACATCACTCTGTAATTGTTTATTTCCATAGACTAGAAGTTAATTGACTTTTCCCCAGCTCTGTAGTTCTGGGCCTCAGTTTCCTCATCTGTAAAACAAGGGGTTTGGGCTAGATGCTTTTGAAGGTCTCTGTCTGATGTGACTCTCTCTGTCAGCCTAGGAGCCAGGGTATCTGATACTAAGCATCTCTGAGATTCCCCATTCTTCCTGCACTGCCCATTTATCAATGCAGTGTAAAACATCTGCACCATTCATGAAGCAGATTCCAACTCTCAGTGATGATGGGGAGTATAGCTCAATTATGACAAGACATTGATCCTTGAGCCCTGGAGTAAGGAAGGGAAGAGCAGTCATTTACACTTTGGGTTTCCAAGGCTAGATATAGTCTGGAATATTTTATTTTCAGAATTTATCCTTTGTAAATCGTAAATTCCTTTGAGGGGTTCGAAATAGTTGGACCGACTAAAGGGTCCTATAATGATCTGCCTTATTTTAAGGAAAATTTATGTCACTACAGAAATTGAATCTGCTTTTTCCATGGAAATCCAGCTCACACTGGCCACATTCTTCTCTTGTCTGCCTGCTTCATGCCATTCTGCCAACTGCTTCAGTGCAGCATTTTCTGGAGTTATTAAACACCCAAGCTTAATGAGAGTGCACTTATGGGTGAAGTATTCAATGATGCAGAACCATCTCCCCTTCTCAACACACATGTAAGCAGTTTAGATAATAGTGGAGATAAAATATGTTTTTGTAAGTTTTATTTTTGTCTCAACCTGAAATTCCTTGAATTTTTTAAAATTAATAGGTAGAAATACAACTCCTTCGCTCCTCTTGTCTTTGAGTGGGATTGTGACACACAGATAGTATCCACTTGTGTTTTCTACACCCACTAGCATTTCCATTTCATTTTAGTCTCCAAAATATGGGCAGGAGCACAACTCTAGAAAAATGGATTCCCACTCTCGCATCTCACAGGGCACTGATCCGTGCGGTGCTGAGCACTTGCACGGAGCCTCACCATCTCCTCCGACCCTCACCGTGATTCACCAGTGCCCCCGGGTTTCCATAGGGGGTTTGACCTTGCAAAGACCCTGCTTCAATTTCTGGGCAAGGAACAACCCATTTTAACTCAAAACACAAAACGACCTTTTCTCCTTTAAAGAAAGGCTACCAAATGTAACACATCTGGGCTTACATTTCTCTACCCTGCATTCCAGAATGTGAATACGGGATGCAAAGGCAGGTAACTAGTTTGGGTCTGACAGTTCCCATTCAGAGGCTCTGAGACTCAGACTCTGTTCAAAACAGACGGCTGACTATGTGGTTGAGCATCTTTCCCTTTTTTTTTTTTTTTTTTTTTTTGCCCATTCACCATCATGACGAAAAATCAAAACCGAAAAAATTTCTGCTCATTTCTCAATACTAAGAAAAGAGCTTCTTTTGCGCCTCGCTCCGTGGCTCTAAACACTAACATCCCGCTTGGAAACCAACCCTGCTTTCCACACCGCATCTCGTCTACTCAGTTTCACTTAGCAAACACCTTCACTGCTCTTCAACGGTGAGAAAAATGGTGCACCAACCCCACGGATGACAGGTTGGTACTTGACTGCAACCGCTCAATAGTTTTATCAGCAACCGGAAAACTTCACAATCGGTCAATTAGCTACTTAAATCCGAGTAAGGCAATCTGCTTATTTATAGACTTACACTAAAAAGCACCTCTGTTCCACCTATCTTAAAGCTAGCCCAAGACAATCTCCTAAACACGCCGCATATCAACACTCCTCCTTCCCCCACCCCCATTATCCCAAAAGATCCCCCCACTAAGAACACATTCAGATGGTCAGCATTAACCAGAGCAATGGTCACCGTGCAGTTAGACGCATCTATGCAAAGTATGTGACAATACCCAAAGCATCTCTCAGACAATTGGCTGTACTACACATGCAGAAAAGCAAAGAAGATTGCATTTTCCACTTACAGTTATAGCGCTGCGCACGGTCACTTAATGAAAATGATAAAACTCAACAGTTCTTTATATGTATGTATAATTCAGATAAACGGTTAAGCCGTCTCTCTGTGTGGTTCTCTCGCGCTCTTTTTTTTCCTCTGGAGCTCTAGGCTGCTTAAATCCTCTTGGATCGCGCCTCGCAAACCCAGCCGCCGCCGCAACAAGCTCCGGTAAGTCTATGCTGCAGATTGGGAATCCCATAGAAAACCTAGGGTCGCTGGAGCGGGATGCGCAGGCGCGCGAGCCGCCGCCTCTCGAGGCACCCCCTCCCCTTTCTCCTCCTCCCTCCTCCAGCTCCGCAGCCCCAGCTCGCGGAGCTCAGGCGCCGGTGACCAAAAGCAGCCCGGCGTTGGCGCATGCTCAGTTGGAGGGGCTCGGAGTGCCCGCGGGTGGATTCCATGTCTCCGGATTTTAGCAGAAACTCAAAAGGAAAGTGCCGAGGCACAGGGAGCCTGGCTCCCGGAGCAGCCTGCACCTGGACGGGCGGTGGAGACAGCGAGTTGGGCTCGCCACACCCCACCCTTATGGAGTCTGATGGTGGAGGCGAAGGCCAGAGATGGGACCCTTGGGGCCCTCCATCCCCACGGCTCCCAGCCCTAGAGGGGGGCCCTCAGCCCACCCTTTGTCAGGCTGTAAGGTGACGAAGAAAACTGCAGAAATCCTTTTCTCGACTGGAAGCGTCCCCCCAGCTAGCTGTGAGCACCTCTGCCCGGCTCACTCTGAGGCAGTAGTTATGGGGAGCACCTTCCTGGGCCGTTTCATCCGAGGGTCTTAACCTGGGGGTACTGGGAGCCGGGCCTTCTAGTACCCCAGGGCCCAGGACCGTCCCGTCCTGGAGAATGTGTGTTGAAGGAAGCTGGGTCCGAGGCGTCTTGCCCCCGTGTGACATTGGCCACATCATGCTAACCATCAACAAACATTTGACAAGTGCCTGCAGTTACGCAGTTAATAAATATTGAATATGCTCCGTGGGGGGAATGGATGGGGGGGGGAACAAACCATCCTTGGAATACAGGGCTGAGGGCTTGGACTAGGCGATACTATAAAGCCCCCTTTTGTGTCTATTAACGATGCCCGTGTTTGCTCGCCCTCCCCCTTCTCCCCACTGTCCTGCCAAAGCCTAGAAGACTTGGCAAGGAGTAGTGCCCAGTAAATGTTTGGTGGCTTCCCTACCAGGAAAGCAAGAATTCCCAGATGTTCCCAACCCGATCAGTGTCCTCAAGTGCTTGTTTGCACATTCATTAGTTCACTCAACAGTTAGGCATTAACCAACTACTTACTGTTGGGGGGACAAATGCAGTGAACAAAAGCCCATCCTGAGATTTACATTCAGGCTGGAGTTCTGTTTTCAAGGGAGGGGAGTTCGGGGGGAGCACAGTGAAGGTCTAGGGTCTCCTTAAGTAGAGAGAGACCTTTACCATTGCACACTTCTATCAGGTTCAGGGAAACTGCAGTGTCAGTAAACCTTTGGGTTCTGAGGACACCAAGAGCATCTCCCACGGCCAAAGGGCTCTAAGGGCTCTGCACTGACCAATCTCCCGTTGCCAGGAGGGCGCCGCTCCCAGCTACCAAATCCGGGAGTCCAGCTTGGAAGCGCTGGAGGCTACTTAAACCAAGACCGGGAGAAACTCCACCCCAGCAGTCTCTGGCTTTGGAAAAGGCTGGTGCTCGGTGAGGACCCCCGGTCGTGACGCCCGAGCCGCAGCCGGACGCTCCCAGCCAACCTGGGCAGCCCAGAGGCGCCAGGAACGCGCGTTCCCGGGCCGGGCGCCTCGGGAAGTGGCGCGGAGCGGGGAGAGCTCCCGGGACTCCGGGGACGCCGCTCGCAGAAGTCCCGTCCCCGCGGGGCTGCTCCGCCGGTGCCGGCGAGCGCGGAAACCCGGAGCGCGGAGCGGAGCGGCGCGGAGCAGGGCGCGCTGCGGCAGCCGAGCACGTTGAGTCCGGCGGGCGCCAGCCCCGCGCTCCCGGGCCGCAGTGCGCACTGCGCAGCGCGGCTGGTGGCCCGTCCTTTGCGTTGCTTGGGCTGGAGTGGAGGCAAAAGGCGGTTCTGCATAAGGCGCCTCGGTTGGCCGTGGAGCCAGCCTCCAAAGCTTTCAAAGTAATTTCTCGTCTTTGGTCGATTTCCCCTCCCAAAGCGTTTTTCCGCCGGGCTGTCTGGTTTCCCTCTGGAGAACAGGCTCGGCGCTGCCAAGTGCAGCCGCCGCAGCAGAGGGCCACGGAGCGTTCCTCCGCTTAGAAGAGACGTGCCTGGTTGGTGCGCCCCGGAAGTCTCTTGCGTGGCATTGTTCGCTTTTAGACAACTTACTTTTAACTTGTGCTTAGGAAAAAACGAACACGGTACTTTAAAGCGTGTTTTGTTGTCGGGGAGATTTAATTTAGATGTTTGCGCTTTTGTGAAGCAGCTTTGTCTAATTGGGCAGACAGTAAATTTTTTTTTAAGTTTTATTTGCACGGAAGCGCTGTTTGGCGTCCTTAAGGCGCTATCTTCTTTTTAAATCTCCAGCTATTATGCAACTTTATTTTCTTAAGCTGTAATGTTTTATATATATTCATATATATATATAATATAAATATATGTATTTGTGTGTAATGCCTTTTGGTCGAGTTTTATGTGCAGCCTGAAATCACCGTAGGGAAGCAAATTCTAAAAGACACCAAAGGAATATTATCGTTTGAATTATAGAAAGCAGTTCCCCTCTTTAGGATGGTAGGATGAGCTTGAAAAGAGGAATATGGTAGGCACTAAAAAGCAGGAAGCCCCCTGGGTTTTTGTTTGTTTGTTTGTTTGTTTTCCTTCTTTCGGCATTTGCAGGTGTCGCTGGTGACCTCAGAAGAGCCGAGGTGCCTGGTGCTGCGCTCTGCGCCCGCCGGGCGTGGAGGAACTGGAATACCGCACCCTGCTGAGTGCAGACGCCCTTGCTATAGCAGTAGTTCCATCGCTTAAAGCCCCGTCCCCAGCTCTGTGGATGGATATCGGTGCGAGCTTTCATATTCTGGAGATTTGGGGGTGGGGGTGGGTGGGGAGGAGAGGAAGGTGCTGTAGAGAGTTTTGGTCCCCCCCCCCAAATTGTATTGCTTTCCGAGGTAGCCTTGCTTCCACCTCACTCTTTCCCAGATTTATACAAACAAAATAAAACCAAGAACGACCTTTTAGGTTTACACAACTTCATTTAATATTGGCATCCACCTTAATCGAGACATGGGCAAGTTGAACACGGAGAACGGTAGTAAAAGTACAAAACGCATGGAGGATAACAGGTCTGAACTTGTGGTTCTCTGAGCTCATGGTAATATTATTTATTAGACATGCTGTTTATAAAACATATGAGCCAAGGAGGGTGCAACTTAAGGCATGGGGGCATTTAGGAAACTGGAAGGAAAATTAAGTGTTTGAAAGTCAGCCTTAGACAATGAAAGGAGACAGGAATGGGAAAAATGGATTTACACTCATTTAAATTCATGCAGACTAATGATAGTAGTATTCTTACCTAGGTATAGTGTCTGTTTTAGAAAGCTAAGGGTATTAATCCTTACAGAGGAGATGCATTACATAAAATAATTGTGTTTATTCTGTTTTATTTATACTATTTTTAAAAATATGGGGATAGACTGGGATGATTAGGTGGCTCAGTGGTTGAACGTCTGCCTTTCATTCAGGTCATGAACCCAGGGTCCTGGGATCTAGTCCCACATCACACTCCCCACAGGAAGCCTGCTTCTCCCTCTGCCTATGTCTCTCTCTCTCTGCATCCTAAATAAATAATATATATAGATATAGATGTAGATATATAGATATATAATCTTTAAAAAAATAAAAATATGGGGATAGACCAATGAAATAAAGCAACTTTCTAAGGTCAACAGGAAGTTATTACCTAGAATAAAACTATACAGTAATTTTTCTAACCGAAAGTGTTTCATTGTACATGTTTGTATTCCTTCTACATGTTTTTCTAAAATAAGTGGAAAAATGCAAGACTGTGAGGGAATGAATCCCATGCAGTTAGGGAGTGGGTTCCATGCCTCTGTGCAGAAGAGGGATTGACAGTCCTAGGGTTGGTTAATGAACTCCATTGACCATTCCTCCCAGTGCACCCCTGATTTATCTCTAATCTATGGCTGAATCTAAATTCATTTTTGGAAGATTATTCTTAGCTATGTCACCAGTTTCCCTTAGAAATTGAACAATTCACAATAAAAGTTTCTTAAATCCCTGCTGAATGAATTATTGTCAAAGCTTTGAGTTTCCTGGAAGTTTCTTGGAGTCTTAGAAATGGTTAAGGCAGATGCAGGTGCTTTGCCCCCACAAGAATATAAAGTGTGTTATTCCATTCTATCTTCCACATTTGGGCCTAACCTATAGATTCCCAGCAGGGCTTTTAGGTTGGAAATTTTCATCATTATTATGTGTTTTCACCACACAAAAGAAAGGATAATAGCAGAATTGCACTGAATATGATTTCTTTTTTTTCTCTTCAATGATTATTTAGGTAGTCCTGTATGCTAGTCTGTACTCTTTTTTAATTGTGTGAATAGCCACTCCAAATATAATCATGGATTCATATTCTGGAGCTTCTGTACTTTGAAAACCATCTGATGCCAAAGGGTCTTCAAAAGCCCTTTTTGCTTAAAGTAGATCTTACTAACTAGTTTCTACATTCCATCTTTATTTTCCTTAATATAGTTCCTTTGAATTTTAAGTGGTACTCTTAAACTCAACAGAGGATTTTAGCATAAAATATGAAGAAAAATAAAAATAGTGAATTCTTCACTCCTTCTGAGACTACCAACAAAAACAAACTCACATCCTTTACCAGAAGATTTTCACAGTTGGGTTTATATTTTCACCTACTGCTTGAAGGAGGAAAGGAATAGTGGGACTCCCACATTTTTTAGAGTTCTTATTATATTCCCTCTTTAAAGTTCATTTGACCATCCTAAGGAGGTACAGGAAGAGAGAGTGATCGTTGGTGACTCCTGTTTTTCCTCCAGAATATAGATTTAGTACCTGTATTACAGTCTCAAAGAGAGTGGGTTGTATTGATTTTTTAAAAAGAAAAAAATGCATAAGTAACTAATGATGTTTAGCAGTGGTGGCTGCAGGTTGAATTCCTTTTGATCTCCCTCATTCATTTACCCAACACCTATTGAGTACCTACTTTGTGCCAGGCAGTGTTCTGAGCACTTTATATGCAATATTCCATTTCACAATGACTTTATTTATGTACAGGTACT